GGCAACATATGTACAAATTCGCCTGTTGGATGGATTGTAACAGGAGTTGTAAGAGTCCCCAATAAAATGATCTTTCACTTAAAAAAAAGAAGAGAAGAAAAGAAAAGACGTAAAAGACAAGGCATGGGTCGAGAAGGAGAAGATTTCAAAGCATGGGCAATGGCGTATGGAAAGTCCCCGAGGCAGAAGAACGCATGGAGTGCTTGGATGATGAGATGCACCTGGATGGAATCGGACCAAGTCATGAAAGGTCTTGGGAAGCCTTTGAAGGGACTCCGGTTGCAGGGATGGCCTGTCATGGTTTCATCTGATTAACCAATACCCGTTCCCTCGTGGGAAACCCTGGCTCTGCAACCGTTCTTCTCCTGGTGAGTGTTTGGGGTTTGAGGAGACCCGATCAACAGCTCTTCCACTCTTCCTCCATTTCCTGAATTAACAAAGAAACATGGCAAGGCTCAACAGCTGAAGAACAAAGTACTCTATTGCTAAGACAAGCTGGGTCCGAATACACAGCTTACTATCGGAGCCCCAATGGGCTTGCTAACTCCCATCCTCCCATCTAGACTCGGACCTGCCCACGGGAAGGCAAGTTTAGGTGCCCAGAGCAGTCAGACTGTTTGGGCTAATAATCTAGGGAAGCCACAAGGGACCAGATTCCTCCAGCATCCTCTCCTTCGGGTCCTTTGATAGATTCTAAGATCAGTGGTCAAGTCATCAGTCCTGACTCATGGCCACCCCACAGGCATGAGAGGAGAACGGTGCCTCTCAGGGCTGTTAAGGGCTGATCTTTTGGAAGCGGATCTCCGGACATTTCCCCCAGGTGCCTCGGGCCATCCTTCAGGTGAGCAGCCACGTGCTTCACTGTTCATGCCGGCCAGAGACTCCTGTCACACATCAGTTTCACTCAGGTCAGTATTGTGGGCCCAGGGCTTCAACACAGGAACTATGTGACTCTCTTCTTTGGTAGGCAAAAATGCGTGGAACCGCAGGGTGGGGAATGAGCATGCCTTCACTGATTATGAGCTATGAAGAGAAGGGACTCAAAACAACAACAACAAAACAACCCTACAACCTTTTGAATGGAAGTCATTTCTGATAAATGAAGAGGAATCGCAGCTCCTGTCCTGTCATGGTATTGAACAGGCAGCTACAATCCCCAAAGCACCAAGCTCCCCGCTGAACACCTTTGTTTGTCTCTTTCATTCACTTAAGAAGAAGAAGAAGGAAACCAGAAATTAGAATTCCCTCGTTGTGTCTTGTTCAAGCCTTTTGTCTGATGCATAACAGATGCCCACGATAGTCTACGTCAAAAGTGGGCACTTGGGAGTCACATGATGTTAATGTTGGAAAGGACTTCACAGGTCACCAAATCTAATCCCACTTCTTGTTTTCCTGGAAAGTATGAAGCCAGCGAGATCGGGTGATTTGCCTAAGGCCACAGAGCTATTTGCATTCTTCTCCTCATCACTTGGGGTCTGTGACCTGGGATGTTCGCCAAGGACACCGTATTGATAGGACAGAGAAACGCATCATCTATAGAAAGCCGGGGATGCCGTGTGCAAACCCGTATGCGAGGCCTTTCTAAAACAAACAGCACCCCTTCCTGGAGTCACAGACAGCGGTATTTTTCAGACTAGGGTTTTTTTCTTGCTTACTCCGGAGCTTGTTTTGCAGGCACTCAGTGGTTAGGCTATTATGATGATAATAAACGTCCCCTTTTTAATGCTCCCTTTTCCTAATTAACAAAATGCCAAGTAAAAAGAGATAAGTTATGCACTCTAATTACAATAACCCCAGGCTAGTGGGAGAATTCTTATCACTGGTTTGGACCATGTACTCTGTGCTCACTTAGAAAGAGCATCGTAAGCTGTGGGCTTGAGCTCTGAGGTGGTGGGCCTGTGAGGAAGCAAGGGACATGCGTTTTCGTTCCAGTTCCGGGAGTCACAGTGTGCTGGGCCCTCTCTGCTCACTGCTTTCCTACTGACAATGAAACTTAGTATCTCCCTGCCATCGAGTCAGTGATGGCTCATAGCGACCCTCTAGGACAGAGTAGAGCTGCCCCTGTGAGTTTTCGAGACAGGTGCTCTTGACAGGACTAGAAAGGCCGTCTTTCTCATGCAGAGTAGCTGGCGGTTTCGATCTCCTGACCTTTTAGTTAGCAGCACAATCATAACCACTATGCCACTGGAGCCCCTATGAGCTGGGCTTATTGCACAAGACAGAGATTGTTCGGCTTGGCCAGTTGTGAACACTGTGATTGTAGATCTATCCCTTAATCTCCCTCTGCTTCAGTTTACTTATCTCTACAGTGGGGTTAAGTCTACTGACCTAACGGGGTTATTGTAAACCTTAGAAATCTTTTAGTTCAGGACCCAACGGTACTTCTTAAGCCACAGCAGGTTGATGAGGATATAAACAATTCCATGATGGGGAGAAAGAGATGTTCCCAGAGCTCTGGACCAAAGACCCTAGAATATATCTTGTAGGCAGTGATGGACAATCGGGTTTTTCGTTTGGTTTTTAAACTTTTTTCCCAGAAAAGATATCAAAAGATGATCATATGTTTTAGGAAGAGAAACTTGGCATTGCTAAAAATACACAGGGCAAGGGAGAACATAGAAGTAGAGAGGCCATCTTTCTTCCTGTATGGGTTCTAGGGTCCTTCCATTGCTGTACGGACTCTTTCCTCTGAAATCCATCTCTGCTTATTGGAGACAGAGATGCAAATGGAGAGAGGCAATGGGTCAGAGAGAAGAAGAAAGCCACGGAGGAAAGAGAGGCAGGGAGGGAGAAAGTGAAAGATACGGCGTGGAAGGGAGACCAGAGAGGTGGGAGCTATCTTCTTAGGCCTTCTGGCATTGGTGAGAAAACACCGGGCACAGGTGGTTTTCAAGAATATGCATGCAGGATTGTGAGGGATTGGTGTGGAGGTGGTGAGCGTGCTACCTCCTGTGGGTTCGTTCATGTCCACCAAGACGTGAGTTCATTGCAGCCCGTCTCCCCATCACCTGTTGGCTCATTTCTCTCTTCCCAGTCCTGGAGGAGGTTTTCCAGCCAATGCAGCAAAGAGCAGTCCTTGCATGCCTCTGAAACAGCTACGCCCACCCTGCACCCCGCCTGCCTTTCTGTCATTTTCCTCAGCCATTTGCATTTGCTTAGAGAAGGGGATGTGTTTATGGGAGGTGTTTGGCTTAGCTTACTCTGAAAGCAGAATGTCTTTGAGTTTGGTATATATTTCAGCGTCGTTTTACTTTTCACCCATGGTCCAAACACAGGATGCTAAATGAGTGATGGGCATCAATAATCTACCCCCGCCAAAAAAAAAAAAAATCCCTTAGCATAGCCAGCGTTGCTACTGCCCCAAAGGCTGTGCCTGGCTGGCTCTGTTACGAGGAGGCAGCTAGTCCCTGAGCCTGCCTAAACCCTCTGGGAGGAAAGGGGACACTATGGGACAGCCTTTTTAAAGGGTGCCACCTCCTGGTGGAGAACTTCCTGTTCTAAGCCTAACTCAGTGCTGTTTGGATCGGTCGCCTTTCTGGGTGACCGCTGAGTAAAAATGCTAGCCTGGCTGTCCGCCAAAGGGCGAAGGCCTGTATTTTATTTCCTGAAGAGATGGTTTTCTCACTCTCCCTTCCAGTTCGTAAAGATTCTATTGTCCAAAGACCAAATCCAGTGCCCTACCATGAAGTCGATGCTAAATCATGGTGACGTCAGAGGACAGAGCAGAACTGCCCCAGGCCTTCGGAGACAGGAATGTTGCTGGCAGCAAAGATGGCCTCATTGTTCTCTCCCACTGGTGGGTTTGAACCACCAATGTATATGTATCTTCAACCCTTGTGTTATCAAGTCAATTCTGACTGGTAGCAACCCTCTCCAGGGCTTCCGAAACTTCATCTTCGTGAGAACAGCCAGCTCCCGAGAGCAGCTGCGGTGTTTGAACGACTGACCTTGCAGTCAGCGGTCAACCCAATGCTTCACCGACAGCCCTCCCCGAGCGCAGTCTTCAAGAGTGCAATGAACGTTGAGTTGCCTCTGAACGCTAGCCAACTGAATGTCTTCTTTTGCAACTTGCATTCTTTTCGCATGATATCATGTGTATTAATCCATGTTGATGCATTACATTCTTGTTCGTTTGCTTGCCACATGGTTCCCCAGGGAGCCCTGGTGGTGTAGTGGTTACGAGCTGGTTTGCTAACTGAAAGGTCAGCCGTTTGAAACCACCAGCTGCTCCCCAGGGAAAGGCAGGGCTTTCTACGACCTTAAAGACTTACAACCGGGCCATGTAGGGCAACACGGCTTCGATAGCAGTGAACTTGGTTTTGGATTTTATTGTTCTCCCAGATGGGGTTTTCTAATTCCGTAAACAGTTACAGTCTCAGAAAATCACAGTGGGTAGTTCGACCCTGTCCTATCGGATGGACTCGATGGCAGTGCATTTGTTTGCTTTTGTTTTTAATGGACATATTATAATTCACAAACCCATTTTTGTGTTGATGCATATTCAGGATATGCTTGACTACAAATAGCAGGTGTGTATTTTTACTCTTACCATACATATATGAAGGTGTTTCGCTTTCAGGTTATACCTTTGCAAGAGTGTCTCAGGTTGTTTAAATTGGGGGTGGAACTACTGGCTTTTTCTACTTTGTTAAGTATTTCTGAGTGTTTTTCTAAGTATCCATTTACAGGTCTAATATCAGGGCTCAAGGGTTTCCACTGAGCCCATCCTGGGCAATATTGCCATATTGTTTAACTTCACATTTTTCCCACTGAAATGGCTGGTCTTTGTAGTTTCCATTGCCATTTTCTTGATTACCTGAGAGAGTAAACAGTTTCTCCCCCATATTTTGTGGCCATTTATGCTTCCTCTTTTGTGTTGCACTCCTGGTGCATTTCCATTGGGAGCCAGCCGCACAGCTCTGCATGGCGGGTGTGGGGAGGGGGGCAGACCCTGGAGGAAGGGCATGCATTGACAGAGGTGTGCTGCTCTTCTTGGAAAGGTGCCCAGGAGACAGGAAGTGGCCAGGCTGGACCCCACTATATCACCGACACGGGCATCAGTGATGATGAAGACGGCTTTGAAGACGTCTTAGACCTGGATATTTCCTTTGAGGAGGTAACGGACTGCTTTGCTCTTAATCCACAGTGTTCTTTGTTCTCTTCTTGGACAAGGCAATTCCGTCAACGGCCCAAGAACGTTTCACGTAAAACTTAACCTGGCCCATTTGTGTTAGACGTGTATTTAGTTCCTCTGAGCGTTAGGCTCCAGGTGACCACAAATTAGAAGTACTGAGCACTGACCACGTGGCTGGGACATAGACAGCCTCTGCCTGTTGGCTTCACACTCTGGCAGAAACGTCTTTTGACTGCCCACCAAGTGACATTCTTCTGAGACGAGCTATTACAAGGGAGTGAGTCCGAGACAAAATAATGTCTTCTACTACCCATAAATCAGGTCGTATCAGCTTGACTGTTGATTTTCTGAGTAACATGGACAAGGTACTCACCGTCCCTGTGCTCCCCGAGCTCCACCCACAAATCTAGGTCAGTGCTGTCATCCCTGTGTACATCCCAGGGGGGTTACAGCGAGTAACCATGTGTTCAAAGACGAGGCATCGTGCACACACCATGTGATGACTGCATCCTGGGCTCATCCTGACCCCTCTGCCTTTGCTGCTTTAGGTCAAGCCACTTCCTGCTACCAAAGGGGAGCATCGGAACCCTGAGGTGGGAACCAAGATGGCCTCCAGATCTAATCCAAAGACCTTTACAAGGCTTGCCGCCCCGACCTCGGCATCGCTCCCCACGATTCCCGTGGCTCCGCACACCACGCCCGTCGAGAGAAAGGGGAAGGGTGGTCTGGCGCTGATGCCCAGGCTCTTTGACATGCCTTGTGATGAAGCCATGTGCACGGCGGACAGCTTCTGTGTCAATGACTACACCTGGGGGAGCTCACGATGCCACTGCAACCTGGGCAAAGGGGGCGAGAGCTGCTCAGAAGGTAGGCTGCGTGGGGACAGAGAGAATGGCATTGGGTTGGCTCCACTGGGAGCCGGAGTGCACATGGGTGGTCCAAACGTACCTCATTCTAGGGGCCTTCAACGTGCAACTGTTAGGCACTTGGTTGGCAACTGAAAGGTTGTTGACTTCAATCGGCCCTGCAGGAGAAAGGTCTATGATCTACTCTCATAAATGATTGCAGATAAGAAACCCCCACCAGGGGGCTATCTCTTTGAAACCTTGGGTCACGATGAGTTGGAATTGAGTCAAGGGCCCCTAACAACAACCCCAAGTCCCTTTCTAAGATGAAGTTCTTCTTCCAAGTATCACGCCTTAAATGTGTTGTGTGTTGTTAGGTGCCTTCAAGTCGGCTGCAACTCATAGAGTCCTGATCTCCACACAACAGTGCTACACCCCCCTGCACAGCCTCCCAGTTGTTCTCTGTTCCAGCCCACTGTTTTGGCCACCGTGTCAAACCGCGTGTTTAGGGCCTTCCTCTTTGTCACTGCGCCTCTCCTTTAGCAAGCATGATATCTGTGTCCAGGGACTAGTCTCCTGAAATTGGATAATTGACAAATCATGAGGAAGCTCACGCCTGTAATTAGGCAGCAGCCCAATTTCTCTGTTCACCAACCTTGTCATACTATTGAAAGGGACATTGAATTCTCCCGACAGCACTTGGGAGAAGTGGGCTGTCCTGTTATCTCATCTCTACAAAGAAAAATCAGCTGAAACATGGGCACGAAGGGCTAAAATGATAGTAATTGGACACAGAAGTACGGCTGGCAAAATGGTTATCATTCCTCGTGAAGTTATTGATTTCTTTCCAGGGAAGCCAGTAGCCATCTCCAAAGATCCAGCTTCCTTCAAATAATTTCAGAGGCTCAAAGTCTCAAAGAATCAGAAGAGAAGATGTAAAAGCGAGGGCGAGCAAATGAGGCTTAAGAGATCGTCAAGGCTTTTGACTTGATGGCATCCAGGCAGCATGTATATTGATTTTTGCTTTGGAAGATGTGAAGAAGCAGCCGTCGGTTGAAAGTGTCTTTGTGTGTCTTTTCAGATATTGCCATCCAGTATCCTCAGTTCTTTGGCCATTCCTATGTAACCTTTGAACCTCTGAAGAATTCCTATCAGGCATTTCAAGTTACTCTTGAATTTAGGGTAAGAGTGATTGGTTGTTTAATAAGAATACTTATTAGATACCTACTAAAAGGGAGGGGGAGAGGTCGCAGGGGGTGGTCCAAGGTCAATATGAATCTAGATTGCCCGTAAGCCATTGACAAGCTAGCGGGAGAGAGATGCTCATTATTCAAGGTACCAGCAGTGGGTGTGATATTCAAGGCCAGGGGGTATGTGTGATGTTAGTGGCGTGAAGGTTTCAGTGAGAACCTAGGGATCCTAGAACGTATTATTCATGATAATGACCCCTCCTCGACCAGAGTACTAGAAGAACTATGGGTTCCCCATTTCAAAACCTTTTAAAAAGGAACCCAAATGTCTGTTTCTCATTGAAAAACTGTTACTGAACAAAGAGAATAAAAAATACTTTATCCAACCCTGGCGTGTAGCGGGGGCTTCATGGATGCTCTGGGACCCGAATCTCCTGCAAATCCGAAAGGAATCGATGTCTTTCGGTTCAAACGATGCTGTCAGGCATCTCAGACCACAACAATTTGGAAACAGGTTCATCGGGAGGCCATGGCCACAGTGCTGAGTATCCAAAAGATAGTCTAGAAATAGCGTTCCTCTGGAATGGGAAGTAAAAAGAAGAAGAATGGTGAGTGGGGCGGAGAGGAACGCCCTTTGATGAGAAGAGATTCTGATGGGCATGGGGGCACGCATCCTCTCTGTGCTGCTAGCCTTCTTTCCAGAAACACCGCAAATGGAGCCACAAAGGGAAGTAAGTAAAGAGCAGGTCAGTCACGGGGCTGCCTTCCTCGCCCCTCGCCACCACACCTCACGCTCCGCAGATGGCAGCCATCTGCTTCTTGCAAATGAAATGGGTCTGGGTCCCTGCGACTGACGTGGCATCCCTGCTCTTGCCTTGGTGGCTGTGACTCCAGAGGGAGAATGCTCGAGGCTCGTGCTTGTGGTGTTTCCAGATGTACTTTATGGACGAGAAGGTGCTCCTTGTTCACGTGGCTCCCGTTTGTGTGCCAACAGGCGGAAGCGGAGGATGGCCTGCTGCTCTACTGCGGCGAGAACGAGCAGGGGCGCGGGGACTTCATGTCCCTGGCCATCATCCGGCGCACGCTCCAGTTCAGGTAACTCCTGCCAGAGCCCGCGGGTACCTCAGACTAGTCTCCAGTTTATTTCCGTGCTGCAAATATGCCATATGTGGGACGGATTCCTATAGGCAATGGAACAAAACGAATCGGGGGGAATGCAGATCTGCTAACACTGGAGTAGCAGTAGTTAATAAATAATCAATGGAATGTTGTCACCAGACATTAAACAGTCCTGGCGTGAGCTCTCATGGGGCTGTAGGGACTGTCTGGAGGTTCAAGCCAGCCAGCAGCTCCAAGGGATAAAGATGAGGCTGCCATGCTCCCATAAAGGTTTTCAGCCCTGGAGATTCTAGAGAGGGTCACTATGAGCTGGAATGGACTCGTGGCAGTGTATTTGGTTTATTGATTTGCGTATTGGACTGCGCTGCTACGCCAAAGGTTGGTGATATTGATCTGCCCAGAAGCGTTGGAAGAGAGGTGTGGCGATCTGGTTTTGAGCGATCACAGCCGCGAGAGCCCTGTGGAGCTCTTCTACCCTGTTCCACATGGGGTTGCCACATGTCGACCCCAACTCACTGCCATCCGGTCCATTCTGACTCCTGGCGACCCTGAAGGGCAGAGGGCTTTCTGAGACTGTCACTCTTTATTTCCGGGAGGAGAAAGACTCATCTTTATTCCACAGAGCCCCTGGTGACCACCAACTCTCACCCTTCCAGTTAGCAGTGCCCTCAAAAAATACTCAGCAGCAAATTTTGCTACAGGGACTTTTTTCTACAGTATAGTGCAGTCTTCTAGGGGCTGAGGATGGAGCATCGAGCCGAAGAGATAGCATCTCTTCTCTCCTGGCCTTTTAGTGGATGTGACAAGAAAAGGGCTGGGGACCTCCCCTCAACCCTGTGGCAAAGATAACTGCAAGCCTGGCGGACAGAGGGGAAGGGGTGACAGAGACTCGGTCTCCATCCTCATCTCCCCATGAGTCTGTAGGGGAAGATTTGTCTCCTCCTCTCTGCCCTGGTCAGCTCTTCCCCCCCACAGTTTTGGAAACCACCCATAGCTCCTGTGTGTGTTTCTGGAAGCGGGAGTCTGTTTTCATCACCACCAGGGAGACTTGTTGTTGTTAGTGGGTGTTGTTTTGTTGTTTGTTTGATACTGACATGTAGACTTCATGTGACAGAGTAGTACTGCCCCGTGGGGCTTTGTAGGCTGCAGTGTCTACTGGAGCAGATCACCAGGCCTCTATGAGCTGGGCTGCTCGTCTCAAGGTCAGCAGTTTGAAACCACCAGATGAGGCTTTCCACTCCCGTAAAGAGTTATCGTCTCCGTTTTACCCTAATTCTATAGGATTGCTGTGAGTCGGCCTTGACTCAATGGCAGGTGAGTTTGGTTTCTTGGTTTCCTTCCTGAGAAGCCACTGAGTGGATTCAAACCCTCAACCTTTCAGTTAACAGTCATGTGCTTAACCATTGTGCTGCCAGACCCGAGGCATAGGTAGTTGAGAACAGCAAGTCAAGACCAGCCTTGTCTTTCTCCATGGCGAACCAATGGAAGCAGTTAGCCACTGCCTGGCCTTTTGCAAATCCCCTCCCCTCCCCTGCTGTTCTTCCGAGGGCTACTGTGAGAGTTAGTTCATTAAAAGCCCTGCCATTAGTTGATTCTAACTTATTATAACCGTGTAGGTCAGAGTTGAATCGGCTCTCAGGGTTTCCAAGGCTCGGAACCTGATGGAGATGGACGGTCACATCTGTCTCCCCGGGAGTGGCTAGTGGGTCCCAACTGCCCCTTTTAGGTTAGCAGGACTGGTGGAGTTGGTGAACCATGGCACTGCCAGAGTTCCTGTATGAGTTAATGATAATCAGAACGAAATGCTGAGAGCAAAGCCTGACCCATAGTGTGCACTCAGTCAGCATGGGTCTTTATGGACTCTCCTTTGATTATGATCGCCAGCACACACACACACACACACACACACACACACACACACACACACACACACGTCAGGTGCTTTTGGCTAAGTCGGAGAAGACTAGTGACCATCCCCCTTGACCTCGAAACAACACCGCCATTCTTGGCTCAGTTCTTTGATTCCTGGACAGTGTATGCTGGCCACCAGGACCCGGGGCCGTGGCTCCAACCTTGTGAAGGATCCCACCAAGGCCATGGTGGGAAGGGGCTAGCTGCTGCCGTTGTTCAGCACTCAGCATTCCGGTTCGTCATGCCGCCAGGGAGCAGGGGAGAGAGCAGAGCTGCGTACGGTTTTCTAGGCTGCTGTCTTCCTTGGGACACAGCTCCAGATCTGTCCCCCGAGAGGCACTGGGTAGGCTGGAGCTGCCATAACAACCAAGCGCATAACCCTTTGGCCTCTAGGACCTTTTAGTGGCTGAGAGCAAGTCTCCAGCCCCAGCGAGTGATTCTGACCCCACCTCACTCCAATGAGGGGCTGCAGCCAAGACAGGCAGCCCCTCCACAGTGGGCAGCAGACGATGCAGGCCCTCAGAAGGATCATTCCATCCATGGGTCCTTCCCCACAGACCCCATGGGGAAGTGGTGTGGAGGCTGTTGGCAAGTTGACTGGGAAGATGGAAGGTCCCCAGGTCAGGCACAGTGAGCAGTAGATACTTCTGGGCTGTCCCGAAGTTGGGAATGAAGTAGGGCAGTGCCACGGCATGAAAGTGTGCCTCTGGTGCCCCGCCCCCGGCTCCCCCCGGAGACCACAGGCTGCATCTGGGCCCAGCAGAGCCCAGATGGCGGCTCCCCCTGCTTGCCAAGAGGAGCACGAACCCTGGGCTTTTCACGTTTTAGTAATATCGCTAAGCCGGCCACTTGGGAGTTGGGGAACGTCCCCAGAGAATTCGCTGAGAGCAGAATGATGTGTGGTCTAATCTGTTGCAATCTGGAGCTGCTTCAAGAACCTGGCCATCGCAGAAAGGGAGAAGGGGGGCCAGGGCCACGCATCATTCCCTAAGCCGGAGGGAACATTAGGCTGAAGAAGGCCCCACAGGGGAAGTTTCTGAAGTGTTGTGGTGGTGTAGTGAGTTTCACGCTGGGTTGCTCATTGCAAAGTCAGCAGTTCAAACCCCCCAGCTGCTCCCAGGAACAAAGAAGAGACTCTACTCCCATAAAGATTTACAGGCTCGGAAACCCATTAGGGTAGTTCTGCTCTCCTATCGGGCCGCTGCGAGTCAGAGTTGCCCTGATGGCTGTGATCCTGAGGGTTTTTATGTGCAGATTGTCACGTTGAGGGCCTGACTACCTCAGTGAAGACAGGGCTAGTCCTACCAGGTGTCAAAATCCGGGTATCAGACCATGGAACTCCGAACAGATTGGCTCAGAAAGAAGCCACCTCCCTCAAAAGCAATGCTGATGGCATTGAAACCCCTCACGCGCCAGTTGACCAAAGAGCCTTCCTGTTATTTCCTCCCGCACAGGTTTAATTGTGGAACTGGGGTGGCCATCCTCACCAGCGAGACCAAAATCAAGCTGGGGGCCTGGCACACAGTCATGCTCTACAGAGATGGGCTGAACGGACTGCTACAGGTGAACAATTGCACCCCGGTGACGGGCCAGTCCCAGGTGAGTGCCAGAGCCTCCCTCCCCCCACCCCTGACACACATCACATAGCACCCACCAAGGTACCGAGGGCCACTCTGTGGAGAGCTGGATGCACTGGGTGGAGGCCTGTCTTTCAGGGCAAAACCCCATGCAAGTCCGCCTGGCTCTGCGCCTGCTTGGGCTTGACACTTGAGGTGGGCTTCCTGGACCCACCTCCATCCCAGCCCCACCCGAGAAGTCTGTAAGCATCCATGTGGGGAGCGGACAGATCCATGGGCCTTGCACCGCAAGATGTGCTCTCTTTCCACAAGGACACCACAGCTGAGGGACAAGGAGGAAGAACCGGGAAACAAACAAACATAGCCATGGGGTCAATGCTGACTCCCGATGTGGGAGTCATTTCTTTTAGGAAAAATGAATCCCATTTCCGTCTCAATGAGCCCCAATGGTGTAGTGGTTACGCGTTGGACTGTGATCCAAAAGGTCAGTCGTTTGAAACCACTAGCGTCTTCAAGGGAGAAAGACAGGATTTTCTACTCCGGGCAACAGCGACAGTGTCAGAATCTCCTGGGAAAGTTCTACCCGGTCCTCCAGGGTCCCTATGAGTTGGCATGGCCTCAGGTGGTGTTAGTGATTATGAGTTGGGCGAGCTGCACCTCAGGAGAAAGAGGGGGCTTTCTGCTTCTGTGAAGAGTTACCGTCTCCAGGCAGATCGACCCTGCCCTCTAGCGGCACTGTGAGTCAGAATCAACATGATGGCAGTGAGTTTGGTTTTTGTCGTCCCAAGGGGCTGGGGATTAGAGATGTCCCCAAAGTCCAGCTCTTCCAAGAGGCTATCCCGCTCCATCCCCTGCTTCGCCCTCCATCCCACCCCCACTCCCCCTCTTGAGCATACCCCCTGATGCTCCCAGGTTCTATGAATCCCTGTGACACCGAGAGAAACTTTAGGGAGATCTGCCACATGGTTCTGGGCACTGTTAGGGCCCAATCAGAGGGTCAGGCAACGGCAAGCCCGATGTAGGGTCCAGAGCCAGAGGCCCCAGAGGCCCCAAAGCCAATGCCGGTCTTCTTGCCTCTACCAACGCTCCAGCAAGAAAAGCGGTCCCATCAAAGGGAGACTCCGATAGAGAGGTGCCTTTTGTCTTTCAGTAGAGCATCCATCCACTTGGGGGAAACAGAGGATGCTACCTGAAGTCGCATCCAAGCAAGGAGGGTCTAAGATGTACCCCAGAGCTCCCTCCGGACCGAGAGACTCGCAACCTGCACAGAGGCTGGGGTCTGGAGCATGTCACAAGACGGCTTCTGGCAGAAGAGACCGTGGCTAGCAGGGCCACGTGCAGTCGTCACCTACATCTCACCTGGCCGCCTCATGTGTTCCAGGAGAGCCGAGCCCCCTGGGTTTTTCGTAGCTGTCATTTTTATGGAAACCGATGGCCAGAGCTTTCTTCTGAGGCCCTAACAGATGGGTGTGAACCGCCAACCCTCTGTGATCCAGTGGTTTGCACCACCCATGGGGAGTGCTTTGTCAGAGGGGGTGCTGTAGTCCCGCGGCCTGAGAAAACTGCCCCGAGAGGTTACTTGGCTCAATATTCAGGCATCATCTGTTCAACTCCCCCATTGAGGGGCACCATGGTTTCAGGAAGTGCCGAAGTAATGGAACTGTTGGCCCACTCAGAAATCACCTACGTATTCACATCTTCGCCATGCTCAGGGTAATTTGAGGACTGTGTTTAGAATAAACAGTGTAGAATTAGCAACTGCCAAGGAACCAAGCCTGTAATTATAACCAGGCAGGTGTCTGTATTCTCGGAGGAAAAACTGTAGCAAGAAAGCCTGTACGTATATGCGAGCAGTGTCCTCCCAGCCCGCACCCTGCTCCACGTGCCACTGGCAGCACGTATTATACAAAGAGCCAGGCCGCGCTGATCCAGAATGAGTGAAACTAATGAGTGAAATCTCATTAGTTGGGACCCCAGTAGTTCAAAAGGAACCTGAATCCAAATATAGTGAGTGCGGATGCAGAGAGATTGCTTATGTACATAGTGGGAGGGAAGGAAAAGTGGGACAAAGGCACTAGAGGGCCACGTACAGGCCAGAGCCATGGCTCTAACATACTGACATGAGGTCTAAGAGGAAGAAAGGAGCCTTGAAGTTGGATCCCAAACGCTAACCTGAAGACTGGTTGGAGAAGCTACATCGCAAGTAGAAGCAGCACGTGTGAGCATGCCATCTGGTTCAACACACGGAGTTTCATAAAGGTCAGCACACAAGCCGTGTGGTCACAGCAGGCTAACGCCACTGTTGGCTGCATGCAGACAGGCATGGCGTGGTGAGTTGGTATTGAGTTCATTCCAACTCATGGCAACCCGGTGTATCTCAAAGGAGAGCTGTGCTGTGTAAGGTCGGGAAGACTGGTACCCTCTCTGAAGTAGATCTCCAGGCCTATCTTCGGAAATGCCATGCTGGGGTTTGAACTTCTTCCCTGGAGGCTAGAAGATGTGTGTTTAACCACATGCATTATCCCGGGATTCCTGGCAGAGGCGCAGTGTCCTGAAATAGGGAGATTGCAATCCTGTTCTACCCGATAGCACTCATTGTCCCAGAGGACCACATTCAGGTCTGGGCTCATACTCTAAGAGGCTCTGGACAATCTGGAGCAGGTTCAGGGCAGCAACCGGATAGGAGGAGGACTTGAACTCCCTGGAAACATTGATGGACGGAGGGCTTGTGAGTTTGGAAAAGAGAAGACAAAAGATGGGCCGTGGCTTTTCATTCTAGAGCCAAAAGAGAGCCTTGAGCTCGCGCATTCCCGAGGCTGACATGGAACGGAGAAAGCCTGTGTTGCCGCCATCTAATTCCACAAAGAGGCTTGTCCGATTATGTCCGGACATGGTTCTCTGTCCTTGGGGGTGTACAAAAGGAACAGAGCTAAACCTTTGGGGAGGAAGGGGTGGGGAAGGGATCCACCAGTTAATGGAAGCTCAGATTACATATTTTCACGTTTTTTTCCCATCTCGATGGTCTATGATTGTAATGCCTCCAATAACGAGTTTCATGAATCATTTAATTATCCGTATGCTCAGGGTAAAGTTGGCCTCTACACTGCTGGCACGTACTAAACAAATTGCAGAATCAGGACCACAGATGCAGGGTGTTTACTAAACTGCCTGGGGAGGGGTGGCTCTTCCTAAGCGGGGTTCTCCAGAAA